CTGTTAGAAATAATTTTCAGTCTTTGCACTGGATAGAAAAGCCGTCCTAGTAAACACTTCTGGGAGGGAAGCTACAGAACAAGCCTTCTCAGAAGTAAGCAAAAGTAGTACTGAATGGCATTTCTCATAGAACCTGGGAGAACAAACTTGGGTGTGTAAATCCAAGTTAGTCTGGGGAAATCCTAACAATACACTACCTAAAGCATGCTGCTGAAGGCAAATACAAGGCTAGAGTCTTGATCTGTTAATTTCCAATACAGGGTATGCATGTAATTTCCATTTCAATTAAGAATTGCAAATCCTACAACAGGTTTTCATATTTCTGGTCCTATAGTAGAGCGCAGTCCATCAGTAACAGATAAAAATGCACTGGTGGTACCCCCAGTTATTAAAGGACCACCCTCTACAGGATTAGGGATACAAAAAAAGTCTTCAAATTCACCTTTTTTTTTTTTTTTAATTAAAATGGAAATTACTTATTTTCCTCATCTTGAGACAAACTGAATTCAATGCATATAGCTAGCCACAGTTTTAGGTTAGCGTAACTGGCCTAAGGCTGACTTTGAGTACTGTGGAAATGACACACAACCTTTTTATGTCAAAACCCAAGGAATTCCAGATATACTGATGAAATTTACTGAACAAATGATCTGCAAAGTATTACAAAGAGATGAACCACAAGTCTTGAAATGAAATAGAAACATGAGCACCACTATCGTACAATCACTTCTAAAAATTTCTTAAGAGAAAAAGCTATCGTTTAGGACAAATTTTTTCCAGAATAGCAAAGTACTGCCAAAAAGTGAATCTATTAATACAGTGTTTCACAGACAAATTACAAAACACTCACTGGGGTAATGACTAATCACATGAGATGACAACTAACCGATTTAGACTTTTAGAACGAAAAACACAATACAACTTCACGCCCCATATGCAACTCCTTAATTTGGTTCCATTTATGTGAATTTCAGAACTCCTTTCAGCTCCCTAAAAGCATGTAGAGTTCCTTTAACATGCAGCAAGA